ACACACACACACACACACACACACACACACACACACACACACACGCGCACACTCACAGACACACAGACACACACACACACGGCCGGGTTTGTACTTTACTGTCTTCATGCTGTATGCACTATCAGCATGTTGTGCGTCTGATATGAGCTGTTTTGAGAAATAGATTAGACATGAGCAACAACACAGTACTGTAAGACCAGTAATGTTAGCGAACATTTAATTTGCCGGTTTTGAGACAGAATTCGTTAGAATTTCACCTCACTAACCCACAAAATCCAGAGATCGCTAAATTGGCGTTAAAATACCTGGTCTTTCAGACACCTGTAGAAGTAAAACACAGGGATGAGCACAATACCAACCATGATATGTCCAGGATGGAGTTGGAGAACAAGTCGTGAAGCACAACAAGCGGCCGCCGATAGCATGTCAGCTGTGTACAGGTCCAAACATACGCACGTGTGTACACACCCACCCACAGCACGCAGAGGTAGACAAGATCGGAAACACTTTGTTAACAGAAAGCCGGCGTTAAGTTAGTGATGCTACACAAGCTACAAAGCTCAATACACTCTGCTAGCAATTAGTTGAACATGGAGAGTGCCTTTTAGAATACACTGTACTATTAGCCATTCTCTATCAACTACTAATACATGCTTGGAAAAGACTTACCCAGATAGACAAGGTACGATCTCGACTACCAACAGCACAGCACGTATACTGCAAGAAGAGCACACAGAACAACAATACACACTCATAATTCAACCATGCCATGCAACACAGTGTGCAAAAATGCAATGCATTTTTGGATCCGGAAAACTGGTTTACCGAAATTTTCGCGCTACCGAACCGTTGATTTTTGGGAAATACTGAAAATTCGCGGTTTTACAGTAGTTATATCCGTATTCCCAGTCATCAAGGTTCAATTTACTTGAATTTAGTCTTGGCTCTAATGCATTCTTATCATGATAAAAGAACTTTCTCGTGTCTGCTCAGGCCGGCTGAGTTTCCTCGTGCAACAGTTGTGCTGAGTTTGAGATGCTCACAAAGTCCTATGCAGAGTTTGTTCATGCACTGTAAAGGCAGAAATTTTCAGTGGTGTAATATTTCGGTATTCTCCAAAAATCGGCGGTTTGGTTGTAGCGTACCTGTCCGCATATTCTTGTGCTGCATTATGTCATGATGCACGTTCCACGCTCCCGTTGCCGCATACGGGAGTGAGGCTACATATTTGTACATGTACGGTACAACCTTTCTTGCGCCAGCCGTCTCCTTCTATGACCATTCCTTGCTGAGAAAAAGTAGTTCGTTCTCTCATGGTCTGCTGACCGCCATTGCTGGCCATTCATCATCCTTTTTCCCCTTTCCTGTTTGTAATTATAATGTAATAATGTGGTAGCTTAATCGTAGTGTGGTGTGGAGGCTGAACGCGGACTTAGGCTACGGACGTCGCAGAACACGTGGTGTTTTAGGAGCACCAGACATCTAATTTTCCTAAACGGTGGAGAGAAATTTTCGGTTAACTCGTTTTCCAGGTAAGCGTACTAGTACTGGTACTGACACTTTCGGTGGGTTTTATTTTCGGTAAAAAAATTCGGCATCGAAGTTACCGAAAATAAAACACCGCCAAAAATGTCTGTTTGTTCTTGTGCGGTGATCTGTTTTCAAGCATCGTCCACACTGCTCTTACTGGGAATACACTCTTAAAGGCTCATTTTCTGTCTTCACTGCATAAGATTTCGTGGAATTTGTGGAACAAATCTGTTCAAAAGTGAACTGATCCCCACACTCACAGTATGTAGAAAACAGAGAGCTTTAAAGACCACCAAACCAGGGAAACACGGCCATGGTAACAACGAGACAGCACAACCTTACCGTGCCACCATCTCGCTTCAGCAGCTTTGGACAGAATGACTGCATAGAAACAACACGAAACGGCAACATAACAAAAGTACAATGATGAGAGAGATGCACGTGACAGTTAGTTACTGCAGTAGCAAATACATGTACACGTAGCAAAAAAAAAACACATGCATACATGCACACATACTGTACGGATGCAAGCGCCCAACCACCCACGCACACATACACACAAGCATACATGGACGCACGCACACATGCACACAGACACACACAGACACACAGACACACACTCACACACACACACCAACACACACACAACAAGGACAGTGCACTCACCACAACTTCTACAGCTTTGCGATGGCCGACAAAGTCCATGCACGCTTTCCAACTGCCCCTCTCCACAATCTTGGCAACAGGGCCATCATTGTTCAAAGCGTGTGTGGACACAACATACTGTCCGTCTGGGGACCACCTTCAACAAACAGAGACAATGAATATGGGGAGACATGAGAATGTAAGTTCAATCCACAAATGAACACTTCAATGGTACGTGTATAATCAATAGGCATATGAAACAACAGTACACAGTAGAATGTGTTGTAACTAGTTACAAGCAATGCAGGTACACTGTACTAGTAAGATTGTAAGTAACAATAGAATCTCTCCATATTGGCCTATATTCCTTGGCCACCGGAAGGTGAAATAAATAAACGAGAGAGCTTGGAAGCTCAGGGCCCTACGCTATGCTTTTTTGCCTTGATAACCTAGACAAAAAAAAGCATAGGGATGTTATAAATTCTTTAAAAAATTCCTTTTTTTTAAGACATAACCTGGGATTCGAACCCGCACTATCGCGCCCTGCATGCATCCCCCGGTCTTTAAAAAATTCCTTTTTTTAAGACATAACCTGGGATTCGAACCCGCACTATCGCGCCCTGCATGCACTTTTCTTCTTCTTTTTCTTTTACCTCGAATGGTTCTTTACCATCTGTATCACAATTTGTGGGTTCAGCAATACAGGATGTGACCAGTAAGTAACAGTAGAATGTGTTGTACAAGCAATGTAGGTACTAGTAACAGTAGAGTATGTTCTCAACCTACCCCAAGCGAAGGACATGTGTTACAGCACCGACCTAGACGTACGCGTGCACACGCACGCACGCACACACACACATGCACACACACACACACACACACACACACACACACACACACACACACACACACACACACACACACACACATGCACACACACACACACACACACACACACACACACACACACACACACACACACACACACACACACACACACACACACATGCACACACGCACGCACACACACACACACACACACACGCACGCACACACACACACACACACACACGCACATGCACACACACACACACACACACATCCATGAGCAACAAACAGAACAGGGAAAGAAAGCCATCAGGAAGAGAGTACAATAAGAGCTCAACACCAGTACAGAGGAATTTCGGCGAAGGCAACATAGTCATGAGCACCACTTTGTGATACGGTATACACATAGACACCTGCAAGCACCTGCAAGTACATGTATATGACTGCATATTCGTAACACTTACTTTGTCAAAAGGACCACGGATAGAAGATTCTTCTTTCCAGTCCGATGTTCTCCACACGCGAAGAGATTTATCATCAGACTTTACAAGAATGCACACAGAACAGCAGCTAGAGTTAAACAACCACAGTAGAAAAACAACCAAGAATTGGACGATCTGAAATCACTTTCTTTTTTAAATTGCTGAAGTTACCTGTAATGGGGGCCTGGGGCCGAGGGTGGCTGGCTGAGCTCTGCGCAATATACACGTACATTGTTATTGGCAGTACAAGCATGGGACTGCATGGGACTGCATGCACCTACGCATGCATCGACGAGCGTTTGACAAGTCACAAATCGAATTTTATTCAACTCCCATTTGGAACGAACCTAGTCGAACGTTCTAAAATTCGTTTCGCCCCTAATAGTAAATTTAGTAATGTTCGACAACATCGATGATGATAATGATGATGACAATGGCGACGATGATAACAACAACAGCAGCAGCAGCAGCAACAGCAACAGCAACAGTAGCAGCAACAACAACAACAACAACAACAACAACAACAACAACAACAACAACAACAACAACAACAGCAGCAGCAGCAGCAGCAGCAGCAAGAACAGCAGCAGCAGCAGCAGCAACAACAACAGCAGTAGCAGCAGCAGCAGCAGCAGCAACACCAACGTACCTGGGATATCGCGTACACTACAGTACACATGCTCCTGTTGCCCATGCATGCGCTACATCTTATCAGAGTTGCACTGTATCTTGTATCAATTCATGAAAACAAACCTGCCATCCCACATACAGTAAAACCTGTGACTAACGACCACCCATTGCGGCCACAGAAAGCAGTCTTTAGCGGCAGGTGGTCCTTAGTCAGAGGTTTGCACCGCACAACCATTATATGACTGTGAGATTGTCCGTGCCTGGCGAAGTGGTCTGTAGTGCCAGGCTGGTCGCTAGTCACGGTGGTCTTTAGTTACAGGTTTTACTGTACTTGTAGTGGGAGGTGATGGTCATTAAAAGCATTCAAAAGCAATACCATACAAGAGATATGACTCATATGAGCCAACAGCCCCCCCCCCCCCCCCCAGAAATTATGCACATACACGTTCTACTTATCAGGACTCAGCATCAGCAAAACACTCCCACAGACATTCTTACCTGCGATGCGAGGTACTTGCCGATAGGATCCCAAGAAACACCTTTCACCATACCAGTGTGATTGCTAATTGTAGCCTTCACCTCTGAAAACACACACACATACACATAAATACAACACACACACACACACACACACACACACACACACACACACACACACACACACACACACACACACACACACACACACACACACACACACACACACACACACACACACACACACACACACACACACACACACACACACACACACACACACACACACACACACACACACACACACACACACACACACACACACACACACACACACACACACACACACACACACACACACACACACATGCACAGACACAGACAGACAGACAAACAGACACAGACATAGATGCAGACACAGATACACACACACACACACACACACACACACACACACACACACACACACACACGCACACGCACACGCACACGCACACACACACACGCACACACACACACGCACACGCACACATACACAGATTCTATTTTGATTCAGCCCAAGATCCTCACTGGCCATCACCAGGAATGACCTTTCAAGCTAAAACTATATCAACGACATGAGGCAATGGCCTCAGAAATTACACGCTCTTATGTACCAAGCATGAGTACATGAACGTACACACATTTCGCATAGAAAGTGATAGTGGGTGTAGAGTAGACAAACAGCGAGACTGACACGACAGCAAACTAACCAGGAGTCGAGGAGAAACTGTCGACGTTCCATATGACGATGGTGTTGTCCACGCTGCTGGTGGCCAAGTAACTGTCATCGGGAGACCAAGCCAAGTCCAGGACGTCTGCATACAGACAGCAGCAGGACAGAGCACAACGAGAGACAATCTCTTCTCCAGCAAACGTTCTAAACGTTTCACACAGACCATACCCTGACCATGAAATGGAGAGCGTTAGAGTGAGCAGTTGTTCTGCTGACTGCTTGGGATACTACACACTGTACAGTACTGCTCAATGGTATCCGATCCCATGAGTTTAAAGGCAGTTTGCGACAGTTAGCGCCATGTTGGATTTCCGAATTTTTTTCTGGAAAATAATTTAGGAGTCATCTCAAAAAGGTTTCATGCAGTGTGCCGACCAGCTCAATCGATGCCTTTCGGAGTGGAATAATGGGACGCGATCGCGCGCGATCAAATAAGTTTAAACTCGTGCTTGAGTCGAGACAAGTTGAGTTGAAGTTTAAAATGATTTTGAGGAAGAAGCTCAGCCACTAGTGCACTGGAGGACTGGTTTTGACATTGGCGGCTTTTGGATAGCTTGGTTCTCCTGCTGACGTGTCGTGGAGATGAAGACGCGGCAGAGCAATCCGTCACCCACAACTCGGCCTCGCATTTTGCGTACTGGTCGATTCAAGAAGTCGAGGAGGGGACGTTTCGCCTAAGTCAAAACGATCGATCGAGTTCCTGAAAAACGGAAAGGGCGATCTCCGACACCAACGCCATTGGATTAGACTCCTGCGAAGAGGTCGTTCAGTGTCCCTCTTCATGGTCCACGGATTGTTCATCTCAGGTCTCTGGCTGTGGAGTTGTCTGCGCACTGGTGTTGAGCAGTTATTGTACTGTCACTTGATATTGCCAAAATTTGTATAAACCATACGGTTCAATACACACTTTTCCTTACACACAATTGCAATGCACCCTGCAAATTATACTCATTTGCAATACTGATAGACCTTCAGTCCGCAATTGCTACTTGACCTCATGTTTAGATTTTCTCGCACCCTGCTCGAGACGATAATACTCGCGTGCATGTGGTTCATTCCTACAGGTCAACAATATAGTATACACTAGATTACAACATTACACAACATTTTTTACCACAAGCCTCTCTTGGTGCTACCAGCGTTTTAGCACCAGCTTGTATAGAAAATTTGACCAGAAGTGGTTCGCTATAAATTGCGTTCTTTTGATTCACACTCCTCACTCTGATGATCCATTTTTTTGGTGAAACCGGTCAGTTGTGTGAAAACACACCCGTAATCAAATATGTGCTCTGTACTGTGTCGGTGGATTTGCATGACCAATTAGGTTATGTTTGACCAATTAGATTATGTTTGACCAATTAGATATGTTTGACCAATTAGATTATGTTTGACCAATTAGATTATGTTTGACCAATTAGATTATGTTTCTCCCGCACCACCCTCAGTACGTCCTATAAAATATGACTAAGACTCTCGGCATTTCGAAGGGTACCAAGCGCCGACGGCCTGAAGACCACTCTGCTGAAGATGATGACCCTGAAGAAGACGACACCTCTCCAAAAGAGAACACTGAAGCCACTGAAGCCATTGCAGCCGATGAAGAAGCCGACGTCGACCCTCCTCATTCAATCATGTCTGGCACTGATGCCCTGCCATCGACAGAAGTTGAGCGGTACGCAAATTCAATTGTGAATCGATTGTTTACTAGCCGAAAGGTCATATGCGAAGAAGAGATTAAACTATCCACCTGGTCGTTAGCATTGACTACTGAGAATTTTCCTGAATTTCTAAGAAAGAAATTTGTGAAAGAATCACCTGCTGCAGCATTAATCAAATCGGTCGAGTTTGCTTCTACCCAAGTTGACACGCATACCGATAAGCCAGCTAACGCAAATGGTCTGCTTCAGAAATGTCACGAGGATTTCAAATTGCTATTAGAAACTCTCAACGATAATCCGGATACAGGAGATATGGCCAATCTTAATATGAACTGCTTCAAATTCCTTGTGGCCGTAAGAACATCGAATGATATTACGCGTAGTCATGAAGGTCTCAGGTCTCTGGCTGTGGGGTTGTCTGCGTGCCAGAATCCTGGATGTGGCAAACCTCTTGCTCTCATTGATTGCGTTCAAGAGAAGAGATATAGCCTGGGCAGCGTATTTATCATTCCGTGTCAGCAGTCTGAGATGGAGAATTATGTAGATACTGATAGCCGTGTAACTGCTCAACACCCTGGCCCCCGTGCTTTCACAAGCAACACCAAAGCTGCTTTCAAGTTTGGGTAAGTGTGGTTTTTCAATCAGTCAGATGCTCCAACCATGCAGCTGTCTCCGTCAACACCGACGAAGTATTGGCGGAGACTGCAAGAGGGCTTTGATGTGCCAGATACACAGTATCCAGTATTCTAGTTCTTCAGGAAGTACAACTGTTGTTTCTGAACCTGTGCTTCATGCCACTGATGTCCCCCTCCCATCACTGTGTCAGAGCCTGCTGTTGATAACAACAATGATCCCAACTTAACAGTTGGTTTGAGAGTCTCCTATGACTGTGGCTGGGCAAAGCGCGGCAGGGCCGTGAACTCACTCACAGGTGTTGGTGACAACATCGGCACAGAAACTGGCAAGGTCATTGGCTACGCCAAGAAGAACAAGCGGTGCATCACCCGTGATGTTGCCCAACGACTTGCCCCTCCCATCACTGTGTCAGAGCCTGCTGTTGATAACAACAATGATCCCAACTTAACAGTTGGTTTGAGAGTCTCCTATAATGACTGTCGCTGGGTAAAGCGTGGCAGGGCCATGAATTCGCTCACAGGTGTTGGTGTCAACATCGGCACAGAAACTGGCAAGGTCATTGGCTACGCCACGAAGAACAAGCGGTGCATCACCCGTGATGTTGCCCAACGACTTGGCCGGCCAGCTAGCAAACATGACTGCCGCTGTAATCATACAGGTAAAGGTTTTCCTATTCCCTGACACACATAATAATTGTGCTAAATGAATACACTTCTGGCATGCGTCCAGCAATATGCTTCTGTAAGTAACCCCCTGTGGCACAGTGCTACACTTCAAGTCTTGTGTCGCGCACCATAACACCATCACTTCAGTCAGCATGTGGACACGTTCTACCACACATAGTTGAAGAACAAGAGGACTAATGTTGTCTGTTTCGCTCCAACATGTCAGCTTTCATTGTAGTTTGATATGGAGCTGTGGTTTCTAAACGCTATCACAGCTACATGTTACGATGTATCATAACCAAGTATCAACACGAGCGTGAAATCATGAAGAAAAAGTACCTAACGATGATGCGTGCACCCAGGGTTTTTCGGCAAATTCACTATTTCAACTACTCCATCCTTATTTTTCTGACAGCCAAGGGCTCTATAAAGTTTATGCAACACCTAACAGCCAAATATCCAATAAGTTACGACCAAAGCAGCAGCAGAGAAGTACGAGCAATATCCAACATACCGTATGTCAGCGCCTTTAACATGGCCTTATATTCGAAACACCACTGCTTTCCTAGCTATTTTAGATGCAAAATGACTCACCCACTACGCCATGCCATCAAAGTCAAAGTCCACACAGAAATTTCAATCCAAATCCACTTGTTCACCCTTCCTGCTCGGCTGTAAGTTTGTTAGTATAGTACTTATTCCTTCATTTTACACAACATACTTCAAATGTCATTAATTTATGACGCCCTGGCTATATAACTGAGACTGGTTTTATAATCGATTATACCTCCATGGCTGCGGACATACGGTACGCGAATTTAGCAAATTTAGCATAATTTTGAAATTTGTTTGGATTTTTTCCAGAATATGCCAGGTGACCCCTATTTTCACCCCGTGGTAGACCTGTTACAACCCACTTATAGGAAGTAGTCGAAGTATCCACATATGGGGCAAACTCACAAAGTTGCAAAAATATCCAAAGTTTTTGCGTCTTTTTGTTCTTCTCCAGGACATGGACGACCTAGACCCCATTGTCGACAAAAGTGTACATTTTTTGGTGTTGATATCATCTTAGGCTGTGATCGTTTCGTCGGATCCGGATCAAGATCCAGATCCCAGATCCGCTGGATCCCTCAGAATCAACCGATTAGATTTGGAACACACTGCTACCGTGACTATGCCAAGGTAGAAAAACCACGGTCGAAAGTTACTCCAGGTTCGTACTAAGTCGTACTCAGATCATCCGCATGGTATGCTGCAAAGCTTTTCCACGCGTACGTGAACTAAATGCGTATAACAATGATTGTTACCCCCCACACACGTGCAACCGTCATGCTTGGCAAAAATGAATCCGTTGGATCCAGTCAACCCTGCTCCCGGGGCAGGGTTGCGCGGATCCAAACCCGAGGGATCTGGATCGGGATTCGACCAATTGATCACTGCAGATCCAGTGGATCCGATGGACCTGGATCTGGATCCGACCAAACGATCACGGCCATAGTCAATACCTCGAACAGTCCGTATCATGTTTATGTCATATTTTCTGTCCTAACTGATGTTATGGACGATTTCTCATCATTTTTGGGAGTTTGCGTTATTTTGTGTTAGGCCGAGTAAAAAAAATTACTAGATGATCGTCCTTTTTTTTGGAAAAATCGGGGAGGGCGGGAGGATTTTATTTTTATTTTTTTACTTTTTACCCTCTCATGCACACAGTGTACACAACAACATCAAGGTTTTTTTTCTCTTTTTTTCTTTTTTTTTCTTTTTTTCTTTTTCTTTCTTCAGCAGATCGATACTGACGTTGTGATATACTAGTAGTATGTGGTCCATATAGTAAAGAAAGTATTAAACAAAGCGTGCACATGTTTCCTGCATCCGCGATCGGTAAAAAACCAACGATTTCGGCAAAAACTCACGATTTAAAAAATAAAATATTTCTTGGGGCGCTGACAAAAACTGGGGCGGACGGGGACGATCATCTAGCTTTTTTTTTTACTTGGCCTTATCAAGGGAAATTGTGTTTTCGGCACGACCTATTTGGGCAATTGAAAAACTGATGTTACATAGCGAAAATAAAAGACTGTACCTATGCAAACCTGTTGAAACTAGATTTGGGTCTAGCTGTCCCGAACTACCGTAAGCACGTGCCGGGCGCCGTGCAGAACAGACCTGCGAACACTGGGATGTGAAATTGTCCAGGGCACGAACTAGACTCACAAGATCGGATTTCATTGAGCAGCACAGTAGTATCACAATTTTGAAAGAGAGTCAGTCACAAATCAGAACACCCCAGCTAGCATACCGTACCTCCACCGTGTCGTCGCAGAATGTGGGCACAACTCCAGATCTCGGCTTGGTTGCCTCTCCCACTACGGAGAGAACATCAGCATACGGAAAGCGCGCGCGCGCGCACACACACACACACACACACACACACACACACACACGTGCACGCACGCACACACACACACATACAAAACCCATAGTAATGTACCCACTGCTTGCAGATAGGATAAAACACCCCTTGTACAAGCATGTACAAGCATTGTACAAGCATGTATTTGTTGGTGCAGATCACAATTGCACAACCGTACGGAACTAAGATTGGGCTTGCTGTGATCCACACCAGAATCTCTATCGGCCGGGTGAAATAATCCTTGCAGTACGGGAGATTTACTGCAAGAACTTTGGAAATCGGCCGCACGCCAACCAACAAGATTGAACGTTGCTATAATGGACAGAACTCTATTACATTGCAGTACTATTTCCGGAAGGAAGCAGAGAGAAAAAGCAGCATGCCACAAGGAGAGCATGTGCACTCATGAGCCCTCGCTTTGCGTTGTCTTGCTCCGTGTGTTGGAAGTTCCTGGCCAACAGTGGGTCTACAGTGTTCGTTCATGAGCGGCCGGTTTTCCGTTATGTTGGCCCCGTGGACCGTGGAAGCTCCCCATCGCCTGCGCCTCATAGCAAATCTCCACGGAACCCGTGCGCTGGCACGGGGCACCGAAGCCACTCGTCATCCGTCACCACGTGACTTAGTAAATAGAACAGTGTACACATTACACAATCTGTGCATGCTGTGACCAACGCCTGGCAGCCAGAGTAGGCAGTATGATAGCTGTACACGCCAGCCGCGCTAAATTCCAACTGCTAGCACTAACCTGAAATTCCAGATCATGACATCATTATCATCCGAGCCCGATGCAAGGTACTTCCCCTTGTTCGACCAGCGCACACAGTTTACACATGCTGCAAAAAAAAACATGAAACAGAGAGAGCTTATGGTACATGTGGCTTGTTATTTTATTCAGGGGTTTTGTACATGTGCAAGGGATGTGCAAGGAATGGATCACTACGCATTAGTTTTCACACATGGTCAGAAAAAGGATATATGGCATGACAACGTTTCAGGTAATAAGCACAAAGAAGAATGTCCATCCAATCACCAAGTATGTTCAACCAACAGCCACAGGGACATGGTTGAACAGCACAGTGATCAGAACGAGAAATTCTATTGGCCGGGTGAAATAGTCCCTGCAGCACAGAGGAAATCACTGCAGGAACTTTGGAAATCGGCCACAACACCAACAAGCATAAACTAGATAGAAAAAAGTTTTTGTCACTGCAGAGCTAGATTCGAACCAGAAATCAGAAACATGGCAAGCCAAGTTCATATACCAATACACTAACCAGGACCTTATGAATAATGCCACCAAAACTGCACCTTGAGCTAACAATGAATATCACATAACCCTATGCAGGATACCGGTACTGTAATTTCACAATTTTCGGTGTACTTTTATTTTTGGTACTTTCGGTGCGTCTGTTTCATACCTAAAATTTCAATACACCAAACAAACACTAACACACATAATCCAATAGGGAACTGCTTCTCTGTACCTACAATTTCTGTTCACCTAACCTGGTCTTTAGCCCTCATACCGAAAATATTGAGCACCTAAAATTTCTGACATTAGAGTAAACACATAGCACCAAACCAAACATACACAAGTGGTTGGTCATGGAACACAGGAGCTTGGGCACTTTCTGGTCATTCTCAGACTTTGCCGAGACGACCGGCTGCATGTTCCACACGGCCACATAGCCGGAGTCATTTCCTGCAAGAAGAGATACATGTACACAGCACCCAGGGACAGTGCAACATACACATGAACACACACACACACATGAACACATGCATCAAGAAATAAGAAAACAACATGATTGTGATCGGCAGAGTACTATAACGTTAGTAGCCGCTCGCAATACTACTTACTAGTAGAATACTGTACAAAACACCATAAAGTCGTATATCCGTATGCCCCATGCCATCACCAGCGCACGTTCACCACTTGTACACATATCAGCATAGCATGTCCCAAACAGGTGCACGTGTATGCATACAGACCCCCCCCCCCCATACACACAGAAGCACGGGCATGCGCGCACACACGCACACTGTCTGATTAGGCTTTCCCTCTCAAGCACACCAGGCAGTAAGCGGGGACCTAAAGCGTAGGACTCGGCACGTAAATCTGTGCATTGTGCTGCATGTGAGGTGCTCTAACATACTCTGAAGTAAGATGGGAGGAAATGTTAGAATAGCTACGATTCGAAAGTGATGGCGCTACACATGTTGTTGTTCAAATGGTGTTGTTGTTGTTGTTGTTGTTGTACAAGTACCAACTTCTTAAAGGACACGTTTCGTTAGCAACACAATAATGCAGAAGATATCAATGCACAGGGCAAGTGGGAGCCACCAGAATGCATTGAACGCATGTAGCATGGCCTTAACACTCATACATGTACTTCTGAGAGGAAACAGTTGCTGTCGTATTTAAATAATTAAAACATTCATTTCGACAATTTCAAATTCCAAATGACACCACAATATTCTGTGCTAGCATGTCATCTTACCCTGGCCTCCAGTGGCAAATCTGGAGCCATCAGGATGAATATGTACGGAAAATACTGGCTTGCCTAAGTGGAAGTACACGAACACAAAGTGTGACCCAGATGTTCAGTACTCTTTTGATAGTTCAATTCATACAGGTGAAAAGTATCCAAACGTTTACCATCATGCGACACCCAGGTAGGCTTCAGCAGCTTCATTGCGTAACATGCGGCGATAGGATTCTGATAAAGGCACAACCACTGGTCACACAACAATCACTGAAGTACAGGCGAATATTTGTACTACTCGGATCATTTTACATTTCGAGAATTGACTTCGGTCGGAGCTATTTCTACTCGTACTCGGGGGTTTGATTTTGAGCCTTTGACACATCCACGCGCACGGCACGGACGCCACACGTACACGCATGCACATCTAAAAATTAATTAATCGGCACATATGTACAAAATCCTGGTGCAGACGTCAGTTTTTAGTACTGTGACATCACCCTGCTTTTTCAAACTTTTTTCTAAAATTAATATTAATTTTTGTGAACGAATCGTGGATTTTACCTGTCGCTTGTATTGGAAATGATTTGAGTACTCGTAGATCTACGAGAGTCGTTGCTGTTTGCATGGTTTGTGCGAGGGTTTCGTGATGTTGATCTCACGGGATCAGGAATCTTCAGGATGCCAACCCAGGCCAGGGAGCGTACAGGGTAGGGCTGGCTAGCTCCCTGCACCTGTACCTGGTCAACCCGAAAGCTTTTTACATGTCCGCACATGCGAACAGCCTCTGTTGACCGTGGTTGACGACTCTCTTTGTATTTTGGCAGAATAATAGTACTGTACTGTAGACGCTAGATATTATTGCAGCTAGATCATAATAGACCTATCAAGAATCCGTATTACTAGTACAGTGTAGCAAGAGTACCGGTCTTTGTACTCTTGAGAGTCTTGCGCAAACATGACAAGATTTCGTAACCAGGGCCTCAGAGTCAGACAGAAGGGAGCCGTGAAAAGTCAAAACTCATCAAAAGGCTGTACAGTGTGTAGCTGTCTCGATGGACAGGTCCTTTTATCCTTGGACAACAAAGGACACACAAAACACCTGTCAAGTACAGTGTCAACTGCGGACCTGGTTGGCAATGATGCTGCATAGTGCATACTGCATGCATTCAGCGCCTGTGTATGTTTGTACTATACTACTGTAGTGCATGCAAGTGTTGGCAAAAAACACCGTACATTTCAAAGTTTGGAGTTGCGCAAATGCACTTTTCACTATTGAAGAGGACACGACACATTTTGGGGTTCACTCCGCGCCCGAGTCGTGGATCTGCGTGTAAAAACCAAAAACCTTTCACAATTTTCAGTACAGTGCATTTGTGTTTCTTCTCTTCCATAAAAGTTACCTTAGCTTTGTGTGTTGAGAGCTTGCTTGCACGAGACAATGGCGACCCTTACGTCTACTGGCACCTGGTTGAGCGATGAGCAAAAGCAAGCTCTTCGTCAGACCGCAGAAGCCATCGTGGCTGATGGCAAGGGCATTCTTGCTGCAGATGAGAGTGTTGGAACCATGGGAAAGCGTCTCTCTCAAGTAAACCTGGAAAACACCGATGACAATCGTCGCAAATTCCGTCAGCTGCTCTTCACTTCGGACAAAGAAATCGGAAAATACCTTGGTGGATGCATTCTTTTCCACGAGACCCTCTACCAGAAGGCTGACGATGGCACTCCATTTGTGAAACTGTTGAACGACCTTGGAATCATTCCTGGCATCAAGGTTGACAAAGGTGTTGTGCCTCTGGCTGGTACACAGGGCGAGAGTACGACCCAGGGTATGGACGACCTTGGCAAGCGTTGTGCCCAGTACTACGCCGATGGATGCCGCTTTGCCAAGTGGCGTTGTGTGCTGAAGATCGGTGAGCACCAGCCCAGTCCTCTGGCTATTCTGGAGAACGCCAATGTGCTGGCACGCTACGCCAGCACGTGCCAGCAGAACGGCATCGTGCCCATTGTTGAGCCGGAAGTGCTGATGGACGGAGCTCACAACCTTGCCCGATGCCAGGCGGTGACCGAAAAGGTGCTGGCTGCCACCTACAAGGCGCTGAGTGATCACAATGTGTACCTGGAGGGTACCCTCCTCAAGCCAAACATGTGCCTGCCCGGTCAGGGCTGCGAGGAGAAGTCCACTGCAGAGCAGATCGGCGAGGCCACAGTCACGACATTCCGTCGCACTCTGCCTGCTGCCGTTCCCGGCGTGACCTTCCTCTCCGGTGGCCAGTCCGAAGAGGAGGCATCGATCAACCTGAACGCTATCAACGTGTACGCCAACAAGTGCGCCGAGAAGAGGCCATGGAAGCTGAGCTTCTCCTACGGCCGTGCCCTCCAGTACAGCACCATCATGGCGTGGCAGGGCAAGGACGAGAACATCAAGGCCGCTCAGGACGTCCTGCTCAACCGTGCAAAGGCTAACTGGGCGGCATCCCAGGCCAAATTCGCTGCCTCCGGAGCAGGCGCAGCCCAGGACAGCCTCTTCGTTGCCAACCACCAGTATTAGACCCAAATATCTCTTTACCTCATCATTATGATTGCGTTTCACACCGCCTGGTCACCATGGCGATTGCCATGTTTCCACTGATTTCAATGCTACTGTTTTCAATATCACTTCTATGCATGTTTCAACCAAGTTTTTGACGATTTCCGTATTACGATGTAGCTCTGTTTTAATTTCACTCGTAGATAGCTCCGAGCGATTATCATTATGATTCTAGTTATCCTCATCCATGTGGTCAGAAATACTTTCTTCTCCATATATCTCTGGACTTGCTTGGACTCGTCACAGCGTAGTTCTGACATCGATCTTACGGAGTTGTGCCAATGTAGCGGGGGGGGGGGGGGGGGGTGGGGGGGGGGGGAAGAGTTGTTTTTGGTCATGTACTTGGTGACTATTTCCGTAGTTGATCTGCTGCAACACACAGTCAGGGATTTAAAGAAAAGAAAAAACAATCACTCAGTGACTCTGTATGCCCAATGATACCGTCTTATAGTCAATGGTGGGAGCGATCGTAGACATTTCTACAAATTTGTGTAGGCAGGGAATCCCTGCTTGTCTGTCCCCATGAATTGAATACTTCACTGTTCAGAATCTATGGGTGACAGGCTAGTAAGCAGTCTACCGGTATGCAGTACCGAAGAGGCAATGATCCTCAGCTCTTCAAGTACATCATGCTGTTGCAGTGTTGGTACAGCATTCTCATTTCCTAATGTCTCATGCATGCTCAGCTGCTACATCCAAAAGCCAGGGATACCAGAAGCACATCTTCACATTATTGACAGAAGACTTTCAATAGATGGCGTGGCGAGCAACAGGTCAGATTTAGCCGCAACTCTGGCCGCCAGAGGTGTAGGTACGATGTACAGAAAACAATGATCATAAATATCATGAATGATTCACTAGAACAGTTGTAGCGGCGCGTCTTCTTCTCAAGGCTGTGAAAAGAATGAGCCTGTACAGCACCGCATGTACACGATGGGCCAGTGCGTTCTAGCAGTGCAGCTTTATATACAACAGCAGCAGCAGCAGCAGAAATACGTTCAGCAGTGTCAGCTTGTATGTACATGTCACATTGCACCGCAATAAAACACTTCAAAGAGAAGTGCTGCTGTACAAGGAGAGTCATACATATGGGAGAGAGGGATATGAGCATATGACACAAGCAAGTGAAGTTCCATTCCAAAACATAGCAAACAACACATCTAACTCATAGTCGGTAGAAAAAATAAAATAAATAATATTGAAAACGAGACGATCTTTTTCAGGGATAAATTCCTAGGGTAAAATAAAAGAGATAGAGAGATAGATAGATAGAGAGAGATAGAGAGAGAGAGAGAGAGAGAGAGAGAGAGAGAGAGAGAGAGAGAGAGAGAGAGAGAGAGAGAGAGAGAGAGAGAGAGAGCTGCCTATTGCTCAAGTACTAGTTGTGTGCATATGGTTCTACAAAAGGTTAGAGTAGCAATCTATGAAAAAAAAACGGGCGCCTGCAGGGAACTAAAACCTAAGCGGGAGAGACAGATAAAGAGAGAGAGAGAGAGAGAGAGAGAGAGAGAGAGAGAGAGAGAGAGAGAGAGAAAGAGAGAGGGAGGGAGAGAGAGAGAGAGAGAGAGAGAGAGAGAGAGAGAGAGAGAGAGAGAGAGAGAGAGAGAGAGAGAGAAAGAGAAAGAGAAAGAGAGAGAGAGAGAGAGAGAGAGAGAGAGAGAGAGAGAGAGAGAAAGAAAAAGAGAGAGAGAGAGAGAGAGAGAGAGAGAGAGGCAATAAGAAGCATCTTGATGTATTACAGGCCGCTTCTCTTTCTGTGCTAAGCCTTGGTTGGGTCAGACGGGAGATCTCCACACTGTAATTAGGACATGTACTTCATGGTTAGCTCATAGGCTAAGAATAGGGCTCCATTGGCAGGGAAAGACCGAATTACTGTCGGCATCAGTCCCCTGTACAGAGCACTGACTCCTGAAAGTGGAATACACACAATAAACATCACAAGTCAGCAAGACATACTAGAACAGCAAAGAAAATGAGATGCCAGAGATCTCAAACAGGCAATGCCACCCACAGCCATCACTTGTAACAACCACACAGGTCAATTCAGGGAATGTTGAATCACATCCTGGCATCATTACTAGAGAGTAGATGGGAGACTTATCGCCGACGTTCAACATAGAACATACGGTAGCTATATCACTGACCTTCATTTCTCAGAATAGTCCTGAAGCCGGTAAGGAAGGACACAGAGCGAACACCGCTGGCATCCACCTGAGGGGACAACGCGTACAAACACACAGCCAAAGTATGATAGCTAGCCTTCTGCCGGCATTCTCAAGGTCAACACCCGAGAGCAGCACACGGCTGGATTGCAAGAACGACAGCACGTGCATCAAGCCATCAACGAAACACCCTCCAAAGGAGGCAAGACAAAACTATCGCAAGAACTGCCACGGTCAAGTCAGCTAACCTGCTGTCGACTTTTGACAACGTCAGCTGGGAAAGTGCCAATCCAGAAGCAGGCTCCGCCACAGCCCCCGGCCAGAACTACGACCAGTGGATCTGCAAGTCACACAAACAAGAGACCATAGCAAATCCAGCGTGTACGTGGAATCGAGTGGTTTTACATCTCCAGGTCACATGACCATACGGGACGTTTTACATCTACAGGTCACATGACCATACAGGGCGTTTTACATCTACAGGTCACATGACCATACAGGACGTTTTACATCTACGGGTCACATGACCATACGGGACAGCCATGTTGGTTCCACCGTCCACACACCATGATCATGTTCCACACAAATCCAGTCACATGACACAGATGTGAAATGGGATAATTCACTCTTCAGATGGCTAGTGAGGATAAGTGGAATGTGCACATTATTTTTAAATAAACATGTCCTAAACGCAAATACAATACATGGCATAATTGATCAGTCAGAAAGGATCATGAAGAGTAGGAGAGGAGAGATGGAGAATGAGATTGAGAAAGAGAGAGTCCAAGCAAGAGATCGGCAGAATCACTCTCATCCATAGCAACAAGAGAACGCCAACAATGTCCAGGCAATAGGCCTAGAGCCTCTGGGTAATCCTTAAAAGTACAATACCGGTAAATACAAAATACAAATAGCTTCACTACTCACGCTTATCATCTCGGTTCGTGCTCAGAAAACGGCGCGTCATCTCGTATCCGCCAAAGAAGAAGAAGTAGCCTGGGATCTCACGAACCCACGTGCTTGTCAAGCCCCGATACAAGCCGGTGATGCCTTCCTCCTTGACCAGCTTTCCTATGATACTTGCCATAGTGCTAGACAAGAAACCCAGGACAACACACACACACACACACACACACACACACACACACACACACACACACACACACACACACACACACACACACACACACACACACACACATGACACAATGCATGTTGGGAAAAAGAATAAGTAGGCTCGACCAGAGCAGATATCATTTTAAAGGGGAAGTCCGGTGAAAAATTTAAATTTCAGGGTTGGTAGAGTTTCGGCCGCTGAGTCGAATGGTGTTGGTCCCACGTGTCTCCGACAAAGCGTTCTCGAGATATTCCCGTTTGAAAAACTGAGTTTCGGGGGCTGCGCCATGACGTCATGCGGCCGCGCCACACCCTCCGCAACGTCATAGCGTGCAGCTACATGTAGGTCAAAAGGAGTGCGTGAAAGCAATAGTGTCAGTGCTATTTCAAATGATTTGGCGACCCATAGATTAGTGGCCTAAGTAGGTGGTGCAAGCGACTCCGAAGACGTAACTCCTTGTGAGAGTGAGGATGCAGCCATGGCTGACCTTCATGAGTTCGGTCTGGGGCTGAGAACCTCGGTATTCAGCTGAAGAAATGGCCGCGCGGGCCGGTCAAGAGTGAGCGCTACTGAGTTTCCGACTGATGAAGAAGCAGCAGCTATTGCAGACGAGGCTGATATAATTATCAGATCGCTGGAGAGCTGAGTCGCCAAAATGGAGAAGAGTGATGCGAGTGCTCTAAATGTTATTCCATACCGATTCGCTTAGACTCCAGTAGCCTGCCACATGGTGATGTTTTGGTGTGAACTTGGCATATTTCGGACTACTCAATTGGAGAACAGTGCAGGCTCTTTGAACCACGGGCACGACTCTTCGCTTGCAACGCTACGGGATCTGAAAGTTCTAGGTCCGGGAGCTGTTCGCTGTTTTGTCACTTGTCACGGTTGTGCACTCATCGCTGTAGCATAAAATAATGAGGCGGGACTGGAGCGGAAAACTAAAATTTTCTTTCTCAAAGCACAACCACCGGCATCGGCAAGGAGAAACGCTCGTTCTCTGACTACTGTACGACTGATACGAGTGTAGTACATGACAAGTCCGTTTGTTGACTAGTTTTCTGAGTCTTGTGACTCGAGTCTTGTTGTACCTACCCCAGCACGGCAGTGCGGGAGTAGTTCCGTGTGTGATGAGTTTGTTGACTACATGTGATATACTACTACAGCTAGCATGCACGCAACGCATTGCATGCCTACGGAAAAAGTTCAACTCGGAAACGGCTAAAATACGGTATAACCTCGAGGTTTACCGAGCTGAAAATCACAGGGTACGTAGTGGTTGTAACACTGAATCGAATGGTCTTGGTCCGAAGAAGCTGCGACAAACGGTTCCCCAATCGAACGCGCTCCGAATATGGCCGTTTTGTACACATCTAGATGGCGTGGCTACCTGGCTACACGCTGTGACGTCATCACCTGGATTTGGGTGAGGCGCGCTCAAATTCGCACATGTTCGATTGGGCGTATCTGACGAACCATAGGCCGCAGCCTCCTCGGACAAAGACCATTCGACTCAGCGCCCCGAACTCTACGGACTGTGAAATTTAAATTTTTCACCGGACTTCCCCTTTAAATAATACGACGAGAGGCATAGAGTGAAGTTGGAGATCAATACGGTTGCGCTAGGCGAAATCCAACCCAAAGTGCAAAGCTGAGATCCTGCACTTGTAGTTCCCATTACATCACTGTACTTGTCTATGTGTACGTTCAGCAGCATTCGTGCCACTTCCATGGGGTCAGAGGCAGTGAAAGGCGCAGTAAAGTCCCTTGACAATAGTACTGCTCAGTACTCGCCAGAGGCACTGAACCAGATAAGGGCAGTGTGGATAATGAAGGCTCATCAGTGAATCACCACTATCACTATCACTGTATCAGCGCATCTAGGCAGCATGGTGCAATGATTATGTCAGCTGCTACATGTATGCCATACTGCACTACTAGTCAAGCACAGCAGTCAGCACTATCACTGATTGCCACTGTCACTGGGACCTGATTGCCACTCCAAGCACTAATCAGGCTTGCTGTGTGCATGCATGGCTGGCTCATGCCTAGTATCTGGCAGGCATGCAGGCACATAGATAGCATGCCAGGACACACTGCCATTCATAAGTTACTAGTAGCAGGTCATGTGACTGACACTGTCACTCTTCTTGCCTCCAGGACATAAAAACACTCATTAAAGCCGCAAACTCCAACCCAAATGCCGGTTCTCTACGTGATTTCTCTGCGTTTCACGTAGAGCAGAGCCTCGCTATTGTCCAGAGTTTACTTCCCATAAATAAATATTTTCTGACCTGAACCCGAAATAAAATTTCTACTACTTCGAAGTAAGTCAAACACAGGTGCAACAAACTTTGTTATTTGTTGTGACTCCGAGTTCCACCCGTGACCTCCATAAAAGAAAGTAAAAGAAAAAAGATCAGCAGACACCAGTCCTACCCGGGGCTGATCTATAAGTAAAGACTATAAGCGCTAAAGACAAGGATCTCTAGTCAGCTGTAGCACAGTAGTTATGTTCAATGTAGTTAGACTGGCCCGCACAGGCTGCAGCCACATCATGGCTGCCACCATGGTACATCTTGCAGCAAAAACGATGCAGACTGAACAACCTGTTGCTCATCCGCAGTCATGCACCATACTCCATAGGCTATATTCATGGCACTGGCCCACAGCATCAGCACACATTCCATGGTGTCATCTAGCCTGTCACTACACTCAGTCACATGCCCCTCAGCACAGAAGCCCATGACATCCCAGAGCAACCTAGCTTGTCAGAACACACATCCACTCTCTTCATTCCAGTTATACTATAGCTGGCCGCTTGATTGCATGACCTAGGAAGGAAAACACAAGGTGATAATTTTTTAATGCTGTCTTGGTGCCAAGCAGCGCTGTGTGCCATACCACATTCTTTCCCCCTTGTATGCAAGATTAATGACTGGTCACAATCACTGGTTCTTGCCCCCCCCCCCCCCCCCCCACCCACCCACCCCTCTGACTATGTACTGCATGTACCATCCATATTTGCCGAGTCACAGCCAAAACCGGGCACACTGTTATATTGGTAGCCCAAAAACATGAAGTCACCCTCTACGGCCATACAGCTACCAGCTGATGGATACATTATAAAATTAAAATATCTAATGGACTCACCTGTGCCGCTTGCCAAGGGCGAGCTCGTGCTGTGCTTGCTGTCTGCATTTGATCAGCTCCAGCGGGCTCACCACCAGTGCTGAGAAAGCGGCTGATAGAGCGCCCGCACATGCGTTCTGCATCACGGACAGGTCTTCACAGCTCTGTGTGCCGGACATGGAGCGGATGAATTCGCGGCTCTGCCCATACAGCAGGAACAGTACGGCATTCTCTCCGATGTTCGAAACAAATGACGACGTTGAGCCGGCATACAGCGCGCGAAAGCCTTCCATGCGAACAGTCTTTGTCAAGCACTGCACAACTCCAGCATGAACCTCTGGGAATGTCTGCATCTTCACCTTGACAGTGTCAAATGGCTGCCCAGCTAACACGCATGCAGCCCCTCCAGCAGCTCCTGCCAGTGTGCTTTTGAAGGCATTGAAAAGACAACTGTATCCAGGTAGAAGGCTGGTCGGTGGCAGAAGGGAACCACTGTCGGGTTGAGTGTTCACTTCCATTTCCAAAAATATATATTATTACGATGAGATACTCAAAACAAACACTATCCAGTCCAGATGGCGAGGACAATAGAATATGCTGCTGTCGACTGTCGTTTCAACTTGAACTCCACACCGCTATACTACATACGGCAAAGACATGGCTGCTCTAATGCAGTTTGAGATATCACTAACAGAATTTCCATTGTGACAGCCTCCATCAGAGGGGGCGAAATACACGTGTAAGTACTGATTACTAGCCAAGCACTGACAGCACAGCTAGCTTCTGATCCTCCGCATTGATTTGACGAACTGTGACCAAGTCCAAGACCACGTCAAAGTATTAGAGCAGTGGCCTACTCACGCAAACAGCACTGCACTTGAAGCAACAAAGAAAGAAACCGGTCTGTTGCCCGTATTCAGTCAACGTTTGATTCAAACGCATACGCATACGCAGCTTCTAGATTCTCAACATCCAAATAATTTTCAACAAAATGCAACAACGTTTACGTCTTTGCCTTGGCTTTGGAAAAAAATGTTGCACTCGTGATCAGCCAGATATGGCCACCCTAAGCTGGGTGCGTTGTGCAGCGCGCTGCGGTGAGTTCGGTAGTCGATGTTACAGTGCAGAGCGCCAGAGCTTGGCTATTCTTGCTGGTCCCGATCTCGTCTTCCCCACTGACCCCAGGGCCCAGTAGCAGTCTCGGATCCAATACTTTACGAGATCACTGACTACTTTGTAGCCGTTTTGTCGCAGATTCACTTCCACGCTACACACTCCAAATGACCAATGCCGAGGCAGAAATAAGTAATACTAATAGTTGTACATGTAAGGGCGAACTAATGTTACTTCAACAAGAAGCAATCTAATTTCTGCCTAAGCAACAGCAGTTGCTGATTCTCAGCCCACAACATCAGGAACTACAATGTTTAGAAGCAGGCCAGCTAGCCAGGTCAAGCCTCAAGGCCGGCCATTCCGAGCTGCTGAAAACTAACGGAATGTCAATCACTGAATCAGACAGCGTGCAAGCAGATGTTTTTCTTTCCTTTTCCCGCCATCTCCATCGTCACGAATCAGTGCACGGTACAATTATTATGACTGCACTGTACGTAGATCTACGTGCACGTGCGCGATCGATCTACATGCATGTGCATGTGCACGATGCGTGTAAATCACGTGCTATTTGCATGCACATGATGTTCAAGCGCGCGCGCGCATGCAGTGCAGACATGGCAGCTATGCCGCTGCATATCCCGTCGCCGGACGTCGACGTCCCCGGCTGGCCCGGCCCGAGCTAGCTCGGTCTTTCAGTTGCAGTAGCGACTACGACTCAACGCTGACAACAGTACAATCATCCTGATATCATACATGCAGGGCCCTGCACTGGGCCTGCACTGCAGCCTGGTTACATGTATGGAGTCGTATTGCCATTGCCCGGCATTGGCATTGCCATTGCGGCATTGGTCTCTTCGCCGCAAATCAAAATAATTCTCAATCAAATTTTCGGCCAGGAGCCATCATCAGGATTGAGGAGAAAAACAAGTGAGGTGGACCTATCAGGCAACACAAAGACTAAGTGGAACGAAACTACACCATACTTGATAAAATCATGCAGTGCACCACTGCACCCAGGCTTTCGGCACAGGCACACACACACACATACCCATGCACATGCCAAAACACTGAGACGCACACTCATACTCACACTCGCACCAACACTCACACAAGCTCACACTCCAAATCACACCCACACACATACAGTGGTGGTCAAAAGTTTTGACCCACCATGCAGATTTTTCGAATTCTGAAGGTTTGTGCTGTAAGCTACTAAATTTTTGGTCGAGGACCTCTGAATCAGGCTGAATAGTGAAGTAGAAATGAAAAATGCTGAAAGACGGAGTCATCTGGGGACTACTGTGGTCAAGTATATGTAAAAGGCGGGTCAAAACTTATGGCCAACGCCCGCACTATCATAAACCGCCAACAGGATACACGGAATAGTGTGATTTCTAAAAAGTATTCAACTAAACTAAAGTCTAGAAGTCAGTCCTGGCCTATTCCAGATACATCCACCACTTTGTAACCCCTCCCTTGGCCTTGATGATCGCTTGCATACGCTGCCGCATTGAATTGACGATCTTCTTGCGCTCGTGAGGAGAAATCAACTTCTATGCCTCCCGGCACACTCGCCACAGCTCATACTGGTTTCTGGGGGTGATTTCAACATCGTGCTGCTTCAGCCCAGCAATTTTGCAGAGATTCTCAGTTGGATTGAGGTCAGGTGGCTGCAGGGGCCATGTCAGGACGGTGATGCCGTTCACCGTCCGCCGCGCCTCCGTTCTGTTTGCGGAGCGTTTGCGGCCATAAGACACCACCCACACCACCCACAAGCTGCATCATGCTCAGCAACATCATGTTTTCGGATGATGCGAGGTACTGGTCCGCATTCATCGTATCCATCACCCGGCAAATGCGCGCTACGCCGTTGCTGGCCATGGCTCCCATACATTGATATTGCCGTCGCGGCGCTTCACAGTTTTGCGGGTACATGTGCCAGCCAGAGCCTATCCTGTCCACCTCCTGACGTAAACTGCATCACCAGAGCCCTTGAGGTTGATTTTAGACTCATCAGTCCACAGAATTTACCACCAGTCATCACTGCTCCAGTCCTTGTGCGTCTATACAAATTTAAGGCGTTTTGCCTTATTCACAGCACTGATGAAGGGCCATTTGATGGCCATACAGCCACGAAGGCCTGCTCTCTGCAACTTGCGTCTCACAGAACGCACAGAAATCGCGTTATCACCGTCGCTCACCATCTCAGCTCGCAGGCAGTGATGGATTTGAGGCGATTCTCCATTGACTTCATGATATGGTGGCGATCTTGTCTTGCACTGGTCTCTCTTGGTCGGTCTGATCGAGGTGAAATGTAGTCAATTTTTGTTTCCTGACAATTCTACGTATCGTAGGATTACTCAAATCCAACAGAGGAGCGATACCACGCCAAAAGAGACCGTCAACACTCAGCTTCACGACCATTTCCCTCACATCCTTGCTAATCTGACCTCGGTTCACTATCCTGGCTGAAAATACCATCTCCGTCGTCAAAATAATCAAGTTTGATATCGCAAACTCTCAAAGTGAGAAGTCAAGTGTTGATTTTCAACTTTCCCGGCACGTGCATCAGCCTGACAACTTTTTTGAAACCGTACGGTACGGTAGAGCAAAATTTGGTCACGTGGCCATAAGTTTTGACCCACCCAAATGTATCGTGATCCATCACAAATCTCAGTTGACAACGGATTCTTTCAAATTTTAGTGTCCTTGCCAAGTTTCAATCGGCTTTGGCCTCAAAGAAGTCAAAAACGGCGTGTTTAGGAGCCAGGCTGAGCTGTACTGACGATTCCATGGGGTGGGTCAAAACTTTTGGCCACCACTGTACATGTACATGAAAAAGAATACTACCAATGTGCCTGAAAACAAGGTGGGAATACCGTAGTGGTAGGACTATGACAAACAAAAAAAGGAGAGATGAGATTCCGTCGCCAAACTGCACTTACGCTACAACATTGTGCTGAACTTTATTATAACACTGGCGTGAACAAGCACACATGACAACAGGACAGGACAGTGGCAACAGTAACAATGATCATCATCCAACTTTTCACATTGCCAATTAATTAATTGTCAAGCAACATCCAACCACGATCACGGTTCACCTTAGGATGGCGTCTGGAGATGACGTGGATTGCCTCCCTTATCCGGATATCCGCCGGTTCACGTATGACACTTCCGTTGCGACCGGTCGACCCTGAATTATTACTAGTTCATACCAGGGAGTAGTGTATTGTACTACTCCCTTGTTCATACTGATAGAAATGCTACAGCAGAACTTAGAAGCCATAGCAACTTACTTGTGCTGGAATTGCACAACAGCTTGCAAAGCTGAAGAATTGACTGCACTATTCAGCCTGGTCTACACCGCACAACCGTTTGAAGTGGTGCGTTTTCCAAATGACGGCCAGTGAATCCCTACTTTTTTGGTCACATGCACACACGTGTCATGTCGAGTGCCGAGCCACTGCCACACGGGTCATGTGGGACAGGGTATATTGGCTGGGGTCGGAACAGAGATCAGGCGGGAGCTGGTCCCACAGGACTGCGCCGATGAACTGTATGGTCGCAGGACCGGGCCAAAATGGGACTTGTAGAAGGTGATGTGCTGCTCCCCGAGTTCCAACCTTCAGGAAGAAGCTGGCGAAGAGGAAGCTAGCTTGGGAAAACAGACAACAGCGGACAAAAACGAGGAACGCTTGATGTTAAACATGTCCTCCAGAGTGGCGAGGCGGAGGTGTTGAAAGATCGGGCTTGTGCACGACCACGGTGACAGACCGAAGAAGCCGCGGATAGCGCACTTCGTTAGCCGTGGCAGGGGCACCATGGTGGTTGGTTGGTATTATTATTGTATTGTACTTCGCCACAATGAACAGGCATTGCTGCCTTCTTGCCTGCGCAAGTGCATTGTCCAGGCTCCCACAAAATGACGAAGAAAGGAAAGAAACATTGCAGAAGGGTGTGGAGCATGCAAACTGATAAGAGAAAATCATACTCTCATGTAATATTTAATATTACATGAGAGTATGAAGCATGCATGATACTTCGAAGTAAGAGACAGAGAGAGAGCCCTCGCTGTCTCTCTCTCTCCCCCCGTCCCTCCCTCTCTCCATCCGGCGTTATTATCCCTCCCTTTAGGCCAAGTAAAAAAAAAAGCTAGATGATCGTCCCCGTCCGCCCCAGTTTTTGTCAGCGCCCCAAGAAATATTTTATTTTTTAAATCGTGAGTTTTTGCCGAAATCGTTGTTTTTTTACCGATCGCGGATGCAGGAAACATGTGCACGCTTTGTTTAATACTTTCTTTACTATATGGACCACATACTACTAGTATATCACAACGTCAGTATCGATCTGCTGAAGAAAGAAAAAGAAAAAAAGAAAAAAAAAGAAAAAAAGAGAAAAAAAACCTTGATGTTGTTGTGTACACTGTGTGCATGAGAGGGTAAAAAGTAAAAAATAAAAATAAAATCCTCCCGCCCTCCCCGATTTTTCCAAAAAAAAGGACGATCATCTAGTAATTTTTTTTACTCGGCCTTATACGAGAGAGCTTGGAAGCTCAGGGCCCTGCGCTATGCTTTGTTGCCTAGCTCATCGTGCATGTTGTTAGAGCTGATGGAAATGCTTTTTCCTTTGATTAGCTACATCATTGTTTTGCAAAAACGTTTCAATGAGATACTTAAGTACAAGTAACGTCTTCTGCATAGCTATGGGACCGGCGCTGACTCTGCCGATGACGGGCGTTCTGGAGTCGACGGGATGTCTGTCCTCAGTGACGTTTCCTGGGACCGGCGCTGACTCTGCCGATCACGGGCGTTCTTCTTCTTCTTATTTTTATTATACTGACGGCAACTAACATCCATTCTGATTGCATTTACTCGTCTCCCTACTTCGTATTTCTTTCCAGAAAATCTCCCCATGCAGCAGGGAGTCGTTTACATAATATGACTCCCTGCTATACATCTACATGACTGACTTGTCAATTTGAGCACTCTGGCAAGGTACGTTCGGGCCTGATTGGAAATTTTTATTTTCATTGCTATCAGGTTCGGCCTCATTTTCTCTGTGCTGCGCTGATGAGTTAAAAAAGAACGAAACAGCATGCTGTCCGCAGATTGAGTGACCGTCGAAGACGTGACCTCGAGTGTGAGCTGGAGATGCTGTGGCTGGAGATTCTAGCCCCAGGTCGACCAGGCAATGAGACGGTCTTACTGGGCTGCTGCTATCGACCACCTAGTGAATCTGCGGGCAACTGGGATGGGCTGGAGTCAAACCTAGAGACTGCCTGCAGTGGACCGCAGACCACAACTGTGCTAGTAGGAGACTTCAACGTAAACTTTAATGATGCCCATGCTGTGACTCCTTTGCATCATGTACTCAACCAGTTTAACCTTCGCAACCACGTCACATCTCCTACCC